CTACTGCCCAAAAAGAAACCTCTGGCCTCTACGTTGGTGCTGAACTGGTTGGTTTTCTGAGCTGGTGAAAGAGATTCGCACTCCAGTGACCTCAGTGTGTTTCTGTCCTTTCAAACTCTAGGGGCACAAGGGGTGAAGGGGAGGGGACCTAAATAGGGGAGACAAGCGGAAGGAGACCTCACCAGAGATCAAAGGCCCAGGAAGGAATAGAGGCTGCCCTTTCACCCGTGGACGCTATTCACAGCCCTGCCTGCTCTGCCAAGTCCAGCCCTGCCACCACCATCTCCAGGCCTTCCGGAGAGGGAAGTACTGCCTCAGTCTCTGTTCCCCTAGCCCAGCAGGATTCCTGAGGGGACGCCTCACAGTTTCCACCATGAAAGCTCTCAGTTCAGACCAACCAAGAAGGAGACTGCATCTCATGACAGGGCAGGACCCAAGCCTGACTCTCAGAGCTGTCCCACAGCCTCCTGGGCATCCCTGTGAACTGAGCTGTGCCAAAGGGCTGGGCTGGGGATGGAAATGCATGGCCCCTGCCCTGTCAAGTTCACATGAATGGCAGACTCACCATCAGGCAGAAGTGGATAGAACCACTTGCAGACACAGCACAGTCAGAGAAGCACTTGTCACCCAAATTGTAACAGGTTCAAAAGTCATGGAGTCCAAACCAGAAACCTCCTGACTTCTGCCCCTTATTTGTGCCCCTGCTCATTACCTTTCCAAGATAATGCTTCCGTCCTTGGCCCAGCCTGCTGCTGCCTAAAAGCTGTCTGCTGCACACAGCCTAATCTGCCTCCCTGTAGCTTGCTTTAACCAGGCTCAGCTCTGCCTTCAGAGGCCACAAGGATCTTATCAGTTACATCAAATACATAACAGTTCATCTCAGACTTGCACACAGTGGCCATGTCTCCAAGTCTGGTCTTAGAGGCAAACCATCCTGGGGACCCGTGATTGAGGAAACTAGAGACACTCTCCCCCATTTACCCTCTGCACTAACGGGATCCAGTTCTACCAAGGAGCATTTATTGAGCATCTACTATGCACCAAGCACTTGTATTAGAGCTGTGCTATCCACTACAGTAGTTACTAGCCTCATATGGCTATTCACGTGGCTAGTACAGCTGAGAAACTGAATTTCTTTAATTTTATTTTAATTAATTTAAATATAAAAATAGAAGCAGTATAAAATACAGTTCCACTAAACACAACTTTATTGTCCTAACAGGACTACATTTAACTGTCAAACATTTAGCATCCAAATTGATATGTCCTAAAAGTATAAAATACATACCAGGTTTCAAAGACTGAATACCAAAAAAAAAGGGAAAATATGTCATCTGATATTTTGTATGGATTAATGTTAAAATGATAATATTTGGGGTATATTAGACTACATAAAATATAGTATTAAAATTAATTTCACCTGTATCTTGTAATACTTTTTAATGTGGTTACTAGAAAATTTAAAATTATATATGTGGCTTGCATTCTGTTTCCATTGGATAGCACTGGGTTAATTACTTTTACACCCACCCTTATATCCTTATTATTTATTCATTTATTTATTAGTAGAGACTGGGTCTCATTACATTCCCCAGGATTGTTCCAAACTCCTGGCCTCAAGAGATCCTTACATCTTGGCCTTCCAAAGCACAATATTTCTTGAGTCTTTAAGACACAGAGCTCAAACCATCTCCCTACTGCTTCCAGAATAAAAGTTCAGAGGCCTTGGTCAATGTCTGAGGTACCCCAGTCTTTCTTTCTACTGTTCTCCCTTTCCAAATCCTGCCATACAGGTCTCTCCCTGCATATGCTCACTGGAGTCCCAGCCTTGGCACTGGAACACCATCTCTTGCCTTTGATTGGAGATGCCCTCTCCTCCCTCTACCCAGCCCTTGAATGCCACCTGCTACGAGGAGTTCCCCCAGATCCTTTTGATCCAAATTGACCCTTTCCTACCTTATTCTTTCCCCTTCGTATCACTTTACACACTGCCCTGCCCACCAGAGGGACTTTGGGATTGCCAATCTTGCCCATCAACCCACTTTCTGTGGCTGCACCCTATCACTGCCCACTTCTGCCCTCAGGTCAGAGGAAGAGAGTGGCCCCAGGAAATGCCCACAGGGCAAAACCCAAGTCCAAGCTGGAAATGACTACAAACCAGGAAGCTTCACCTTGTAAAGCCTTAGTCATCTAATCTGAAAAATGGGGCAAAGATCCTGCTGTCTTCTTCTTGGCCTCTAATGCCTCTCTTACCCCATGACTCTTCCTTCAGGCTGCTGAGAGCTCCTGAGATAAATGGTATCATCCTAGAAACCAGCACTCAAAATTCCAGTCTATAGACTTCACAGGCCAGTCCTCCAGGGTACTTGGCAATTTCCCTCCCTTTCCCCAATGGCTGGTTCTCACTTTCTCTGCTCTTCTGAAACCTCTGACCTTCGGGTCTCACATCACTCTCAGTAGCAGCCAGCCAATCCAAAAACTCTTCCCCTTATTCCCTCCCCAGGCTCTTCCTAGCCCTAGGCTGTTCCTTCTCTAAAGGGCCTCTCTGAGGGGCTGAGGGACAACAGGTAGGCAGATAATATCAAGACACTGGGGTGTCATGAGCCCTCCAGCTCCTCCTGACTCTCCATTCCATACAAGCTGTGGCTTTGCCAATGTCACAGGCCTCCCTGGGGCCTTGGTTATTTCCCCTAATAAAATGGAGGTGGCAATCACTTCCCCCTGGAGCCAAGGAGATGTAGAGAAAGGATCAAGAGGATTGAGAAGTCCAGGAAGGGGCACGATGCAATGCACCCCTCAGACACTTCACTTCCCTGATGTGAGTAAGGGCACTTCTGCCCACCCCTGTGCTCAACCACGTACACTCTGTGAGGAGGAGGTTCAGATTTCTGCTTAGGTCCCCCAATCTTCCCACTCCTATAAGCTTCTAGGAGCATCAAGCTCTTCTCCCTTAGCCCACAGGCCACAGACTGCACTACCTGCCAAGTCTTCTTAAGGGTCAGAACTCCCCCATAAATTTCAAAACTGGAAGGATCTTGAAGATCTTCCAATCCCATATCTGATTCTTTTATGGTACCCCAACAGGTGACCATCTAGCCTCCACTCACATAACCTTAGAGATGGGACATTCACGACCTCCCAAGGCATCTGCTTTTAACTCCTAGACCATTCTTACCTGTACAGAGTTCTTTCTCACACTGAGCTGAGATCACCTCTACATCTGCTGCACACTGACCTTTAAGGCCACACAACAACATCTTGTCCTCTCTCCTCATTTGCCAGCCCTCCAAACATTTAAAGGCGACAACCCAGTCCTGCTTATTCTGCTCTTCTTTGTGCCAAAGCATCCCTAGATCCTCGAGGTGTTTCCCAGGTACTGTATCAGATTGTTCTTCACCGAGGTTATACTCATCTGGACACAACCCTATTCGTCACTTTCCCTCTTTCAAGTCAATAGTCCCAAATAAGCCACAGTCCTCGGGGAATGATCCAGTCAGCACAGAGTAGTCAAGACCAACACCACACATGTTCTAACCACTCTGTGTCTTTTAAAGCAGTTTGAGATCCCAGACAGTGACTGCTGACCAGAGACTCCAGCCAAGACCATACTCCACAACTACAGTAAACAATCCCCCCAAGCCAGGATCTGTATGTTTGGTGGTAAACATAAATCTGTATTATTTTCTTTCTCCAAAAATCTCTACATTGATCCTTCAGCCTCAGACAACCCACTCCTCCACCATGGTCCAACATAGCCAGGTCCCGGCTTGGGCACATCTGCTGCAAATCCAGGTGACAGTGGGAAAAAAGATGACACCATCGACACAATAAACCAACAAAGATGGCAGGCCCACTGCCTCCTGCAGCAACAGAGCACAGCAACCCACTGAGTTAAAGACTTCTGACATCTGCTCAGGAGCGGCAGGAGCAGGCAAAAGAAGCAAGCAAGGCAGGTTCCAGAAGCCGTGAATCATCCCCACGCATCCCCCAGCTCCAAACTGAGGCCACAAGCTCAGCTTCTGTGCTGCCTGGAACATGCAGACCACAGGCCAATCCACTGCTGGGCCGACTCAATTTTCTAGTTACAGATCTTAAGTACTTGGGCATGTGCTCCCGAGAACATACATCCCTTACACGGAGCTAAGAAAGGGAATTGTGCCGAGGAACAGAATAATTGAATCAAGATTTCTGTCACGCTGCTCTCAAGCCCTAGACCATAGCCCTGTTTTTTTTTTTTCTTTCTGACTAAGATTTTACAGACTCCCTGGGGGTCGTTTCTCCTCTCAAACCCATTAATGTCAGCCAGAGCTGGCAGCCCATCCAGGGGAAATGAGACAGGCTAAGGTGCCCCATGTTCAGGATGGAGGTGGACGGCTCTGGAGGCCCTGGCAAAGGGTTGAGAAAAACTAACCAGGAAGATTGTCATCTTTGTAATCCTCATGAGGCCCCCTGCGCTCCTTTCTTCCAGGCCCAAGGGCAAGAATGAGATGATTATTAATTTCCTCCACGCCCCACTGTCACCAGGGCTGAAGGCCTTCTCTGCTGAGAGACTGGCACAGCCTCAAAGAAAACCCACCTCTTCCCCTCCCCCACACGTGTGCCCCTCTCACGGCTGGACTGGGAGGTTGCTGCTTTGTGCAGGCTCCCCTACAAAGGGGACATCCATTGGTGTTGTGCTCAGACCCTGTGCATGAGGGGCCCTGGAGCATGATATCTGCACACACAGGGTCTTCTTAAAGACCACAGAGCGCAGGCTACAGGGCTCTGCCAGGTCCACTTTCTCTATCCAAAGGGTTATGATGGGAGAGGCCAGCAAGGATTCCACCGTCCCACCCTGCTCCCTGTCTGCCCTCAAGGAGAGAGCTGAGCCTGGATCTGGGCACTCCTCTGCAGAAAGGGGGTGGGCTCTCGGAACCTTTGTCTCCACCCCTGACTGAGCTCTCACAACAGACCGTGTGTCCATCCACTGCCCACAGGGCTGCGCAGCTGGCGTCTCTTACCTTCATCCCTCTTGCGCTTGTTGGTGTCAGCGCTGGGGGACGTGATGCCCAGGATGCCGCTGATGGAGTACGAAGAGCCAGCCGAGTCCGTGCTCACCGACGACACCTGCGTCACGGAGCCGGTGGACACTGTGCAGAGGGAGAGGGGCTGTCAGGGCTGGCTGGAGGGCCGAGGAGCAGGTGGGTGCTTGGCACTCACCACGCACTGGGCTAGGGGGACCTACTGAGAGTGCAGAGAGGGAGGACACTCACTCT